GGAGAGCACCTGAGATGTAGCGTCTCCGAGTGGAGTGTCCCGAACTTCCTGCAGGGGAAGTTCCCGCCTCTGGCCAGCAAGCCCCTCCCAGGGGCAATGGTTTTGATTTCTCAGTTCCGGGCCAGCTGATGTCTAACCCTCACTCCCCCAGCAGGGAGCTCCACCCCCTTCCCGGAGCAGATCCCCCCAGTGGGACTCAGCACTTTGAGGTGGGGGCAGGCAAGGGGAGGCAGGAGGGCTGAAGGCGTGCAAAAGCCAAGTGGGGAAGTGGAGCTGGGGTGCTAAGAGGAGGCCCAAGCTCCGGGTGTGCTCTTGGCTGCTAACCAAAAGGTTGACAGTTCAAACCCACTCAGCAGTGTTGCGGAAGAAAGGCCTGGCAATCTGCTTCCTAAAGGTCTTCGTTGTTGTCATCAGAAGCCATCAAGCTGAGCTGGACTCATAGTGCTCCATGTGACAGGATGGAACTGCCCCATAGCGCTTTCTTGGCTGTCATCTTCATGGGAGCGAAATAACAGACATTTCTCTCATGGAGCCTCTGGGTGAGTTTGAACCACCAACCTTTCCATTAGCAGCTGAGCACTTAACATTTGCACCACCAGGGCTCCAAGGAAAACCTTCAGTTGTAGTCTGTAGCACGTGGGGTCTCCTGAGTCGGAATGGACCAGAGGGCCGTGGGTTTACGTGCACCGTAGCACTCAGGAGTGCTAACAAGGAAGAGGCATGTGGCACAGAAGATGCTGTGGCAAATTCTGCCACGTGGAGGAGCCAGGGAAGAGGGCCTCCTCCCTGAAAACAGCTGCCCCTTGTCCTGAAAAGCAGCACCGTGTGCAGGAGCGGTGAAAGCCGGCACAGAGGCACCAAGCGGAGCTTCCAGGCGTAGCGTGCGGTTCTGAAGTGTGGTTGGACCAGCTCCACGATGTCGCGCAGTGGATTCTGACCAATTACAAGGCTCGGTGAGGCCTTCAGCTCCAACGAGACACAGCTGGAGGTGCTGCGCACAGGCCGAGGAGGGCAGACAGCTGCAGGTGGTGGGTTTCAGTGGGAGGGGGAGGTCTGAGCTGCGAGAGCCGCGAACCTGCCGCAAAATGGAGACACGTCATTTTTTTTTTTTCTTCAAATCTTGGAAACATAACTACTTAGTAACTAGATGACAGAGAGTATCCCGGTGGAAGTTGAATGAGCTCAGATGTGAAGTCTGTGCACCATAGATGCAGTCCTGCCATGTCTGTCCTTAGAAGTCAGCATGTCCCCAAGCACAGCATCCCAGACGCCACCACCATCCGTTTGCCCCACTTCTTGGGCATGGGGAGCCCCCACAGCAAATAAACCCCCTGCCATGGAGTCGATTCCACTCACAGCGCCCCTAGAGGACAGAGTGGAACTGCCCACAGGGTCTCCAAGGCTGTCAATCTTCATGAAAGCAAAGCCCAAACCACACCCACTGCCTGGAGTCCATTCTGACCCACAGCGCCCCTAGAGGACAGAGTGGAACTGCCCACAGGGTCTCCAAGGC